ATTTCTGGAAGAGCAACACTCCCCTCTTGCTGAGCATTACACTGATGATCAATTTTGTGCAAAACTGGCCTACTTATCTGATATACACTCACCTAAAGGATTATTAGAAACACCATACTAATACTGTGTTTGACCCCCTTTTGCCTTCAGAACTGCCTTAATTCTACGTGGCATTGATTCAACAAGGTGCTGAAAGCATTCTTTAGAAATGTTGGCCCATATTGATAGGATAGCATCTTGCAGTTGATGGAGATTTGTGGGATGCACATCCAGGGCACGAAGCTCCCGTTCCACCACATCCCAAAGATGCTCTATTGGGTTGAGATCTGGTGACTGTGGGGGCCATTTTAGTACAGTGAACTCATTGTCATGTTCAAGAAACCAATTTGAAATGATTCGAGCTTTGTGACATGGTGCATTATCCTGCTGGAAGTAGCCATCAGAGGATGGGTACATGGTGGCCATAAAGGGATGAACATGGTCAGAAACAATGCTCAGGTAGGCCGTGGCATTTAAACGATGCCCAATTGGCACTAAGGGGCCTAAAGTGTGCCAAGAAAACATCCCCCACACCATTACACCACCACCACCAGCCTGCACAGTGGTAACAAGACATGATGGATCCATGTTCTTATTCTGTTTACGCCAAATTCTGACTCTACCATCTGAATGTCTCAACAGAAATCAAGACTCATCAGACCAGGCAACATTTTTCCAGTCTTCAACTGTCCAATTTTGGTGAGCTCTATAGCCTCTTTTCCCTATTTGTAGTGGAGATGAGTGGTACCCGGTGGGGTCTTCTGCTGTTGTAGCCCATCCGCCTCAAGGTTGTGCGTGTTGTGGCTTCACAAATGCTTTGCTGCATACCTCGGTTGTAACGAGTGGTTATTTCAGTAAAAGTTGCTCTTCTATCAGCTTGAATCAGTCGGCCCATTCTCCTCTGACCTCTAGCATCAACAAGTCATTTTCGCCCAAGGAACTGCCGCATACTGGATGTTTTTCCCTTTTCACACCATTCTTTGTAAACCCTAGAAATGGTTGTGTGTGAAAATCCCAGTAACTGAGCAGATTGTGAAATACTCAGACCGGCCCGTCTGGCACCAACAACCATGCCACGCTCAAAATTGCTTAAATCACCTTTCTTTCCCATTCTGACATTCAGTTTGGAGTTCAGGAGATTGTCTTGACCAGGACCACACCCCTATATGTATTGAAGCAACTGCCATGTGATTGGTTGATTAGATAATTGCATTAATGAGAAATGGAACAGGTGTTCCTAATAATCCTTTAGGTGAGTGTATTTGATCAGTTAAAGATGAATTGTATGACACATAGTATGTCCCAAAGCTTGTCTACTCGTCTGCTACACACTCAAAAGTATCAACTTTTTCTTTACAAAAAGAGTACATACTTTTAGGGCGTAGTATAAGTAGGTGTATTGAGACACAGCATCAGTTTACTCGCCGCGTCCGCACGTGTGGGCGGTCGTGCGCAAGACCCCATTTCACTCCAAATCCGCAGATGCATGACTTCGAGCAGAATCTGGCCGAGCATGTACGTCTCATCACACCGGCACCCAGTTTGTGCGTCTAAAATAGTTGCTTACATTTACAAAATGAACAGCAGACATAAGCCTTTAAATAAAAATAAAGGCCCATATTTTATAAAAATGTTCACGAAACTAAATGAAAGTGTTTACAAAATATGTAAGATATTGTTAATTTATTTGTATAGGTTACGTTCTCATATCTATTTATTTTGTTCTAATGTCACAAGTAATAATCAATCTCAAGGTTTACTGCAATACGATTCTTTCTTTTGTAGTGTGGTTTTGGTGAAGTGTACTAAATAAACATCACGAGTGTACCTTACTACTTCTCACCGCTGATTCCTGATGGTATAGAGGACAATTACTCCGAGTCGCCTCCTGTCGTTTCACAGAATAGTACAACGCGAGCGCTTCAAGTATAAATGCCTCGTCCGTTTAGGGAGACTCGCGCTGAGGAGCCAGGCGAAAGGATAAACCAGGCTTTACCTGGACCCATCCCATCTGTTCACTACCCATCCTTCACAATTCCCTGGCACAACGAGGACACCACATCCCCTTTTGTTTTAACACTTTATTTCACCCATTTTTGGACATTTTATGTTTATTTACTTTAATAAATACACCACCTGACATCACTCTCATGCTTTGTGTCAGTCGTTTGCTCCTCCCGCCACAGTATATTTTATTTTATTTAATTTTTTTTTTTTTTTTTTTTACAATTTTCATTTGTATATATATATATATATATATATATTTATATATATACAAATGAAAATTGTAAAAAAATTTTTTTTTTTTTTTTAAATCTCAATGATACTAAAATAACAATGGCATTGTCTACTTATAGAGATTAGAAGTGTAATTTGACAGACTTGCATATATATTTGAGAGATCAAAGCTTTCCTTGTGGGCTTAAAAGTCAAATTAACTTTCTCATTGGTGTAGGTGGAAGAAAATGACATAAAAAAAAAAGCTTTATCAGATAGCAGAACCATGGAAACAACAGAGACATTTTATCAAAGCTGTCTGTGTTTGTGACAATACCACATGATCTCTATGGGCCGGTCTATACAAACATAAGGGAACAGCCAGAAGAACTCAACACTGAAGCAGGTGCATCACAAGTGACCTGGTGGTGAATTATTCCTCTCTTCCCAAATCAGCCAGAAGAACTTTAAAGAAGAGGCCGCTTTGAGGTACAGTATTTTAAACACAGACATTAGTTTGATAAAAGTGCATTTGTTCACAGTAGATTATACACAAATGTGCTATTAGGAATGTGGGGAAAAAAATTTTTTATTCAAGTCAAAGTTTGGACATAATGAAAGTTTGGACATATTATAACAGTTCATTCAATACATATAGTATCAAAGCAGCTTCACAATAATACACAGGAAAATAACAGTGTTAATTAATCAATTATGAATAAAAGCAGCTGTACAGCAGCTCTACAGAAGACAATAGAGCATAATTCAGCTCAAGTCAGTTCAATGAAAATGTCGATGTTGCAAAGTTAGTGTCATTCTCTGTCTGTCTGATAGTGTCAGTGCAGTTAAATCGATAATATAAGTGAATATTTATTGTCTTAAACAGCAATTTCTGGCTATGCTTTATGCTTAAATACTTTGGGATAAATTGTCCCTGGGCATTGGTTTCTTAATGAAGTATGAATACTTAATTTTCCCTTTATTACTATGTTTTAACGAACGAGTTGGAGTGAGTATTACTTAAAATGTTTTACTTAAAAAGAAGAAGTAGATGCATTCAGAATGTGCAGAAATATACCTGCAGTACTGTGTATGTCTGATATGCTCCTTAAACAAAACACATTTTAAATAAGGACACAAACGTCTTTCATTTTTCGTAATTATGACTGTGGTGTCATTATCTTATCTGATATCTATACAGACGCAAACATGATGCAGAAATATTTGCATAGCTTCCCTCTCACACACGCAATTAGGCAAAACTTGTAATCCCTTGTGTAAAAAATTTACCGTACTTTAAAAAGTATCTACCGTACTATGGAAATAATATACTGTTCTCTATAATGTTTCAAGTGGTTTCCCCGAAAATGCAACTTTTAATGACTTCTGCAGTCTCAAAATTATTCGACCCCTTCATGGCAAGCATTTTTAGTACTTAGTAGAAAACCCTTTTGCTGTTATAATATAATAATAATAAACTATATTTTCTATAGCACCTTTAAAAGTCACATCTCAAAGCTCTTCACAAAAATAAGAAAAATAAAAGAAATACAGTTTTTGAAACCCCAGCCAGTAGAGCATTGCCATAATCAAATGCAAGAATATTAATGAACTTTTCAGCCACCATATGTGACAACACAGGACACAGTCTGGCAATGTTTCTAAGGTGAAACAAAAAATGTTTTGAAAGTATTCTGAGGATCAAATGTTAAATTAGCATCAAATATCACCCCTCAATTTTGTTTATATCGCTTGAAACTCTAACATAGAGCCATCCACATTTAAAGTTAAAGACCCAGCTTTACGTAGCTGGTGGGGTGAACCAATGAGTATAACCTCAAGTCTTTTCACTGTTTAGACAATTAAAATTGTGAGACATCGATTCTTTTGAAATCTCAGAAATACATTGAGACAGAAAGGCAACAACCATATTATCATCAGGTTTTGAATTTATGTAAACTGTGTGTCATCTGCATAAGAATGAAAGTTAACACCAATCTTAAAAGTTGACCAAGTGACCAAATGTAGATGCAGAAGAGTAAAGGGCCCAGAATTGATCCCTGAGGAACACCAGATTGCACCACACCAACCTCAGACCTGCAACCACCCATATCAACAAACTGCTTTCGATCTGAAAGGTTTGATTTAAACCAGTTTAGTGCAATATCAGAAACATCAAAGACAGTCTCAAACGGATGATTAAAAAAGTGATCTACAGTGTCAAAAGCGGCACTGAGATCAAGGAGAGTCAAAATTGAAAGACAGCCAGAGTACAAAGCAATTAACAAATCATTTGTCATGCGATCATAATCATTTCGTCAAATCATTCCTTAACTAATGTAGTTGCAGTGCTGTTTACAGAAGCCAGATTTAAGGGCCTTAAAAAGATTGTTTGCAGTAAGATGAGACTACAATTGAAAAGCAACAATTTTCTCTAAAAGTTTGGCAAAGAAGGCAAGATTGGAAATAGGACAGAAAGTTATTAAGATTATCAAAGCCCGTGTTATTTCAAAAGTGCAAAGTGCACCTTGTGTAAAGTGTACTAGAATGTGTAAGAAGCAACCGTGAATGTGTACTCTCTTTAAGTGGCCTTTTATTACATTAATATTATCTGCAAGTACAGTAAAGACTTAAAGTGCCCATTCAAAACAATTAAGGCACGAGCTTCCGTCTGATATGCACAAGTTGGTTTCTATGATGCTCTTTTTAATTTCACTCCATCTGTGTCTTTCCTTTCAAGGTCAATCGTACAGATTTGACTTACAACATGGATAACGACACTTATTATGATGACGATTATTACGATGAAGCAGTGCCTTGTAACCTGACGGGGTACAACAAGGATGAAGTGATCATCCAAACATACATCTACTCCCTGATTTGTGCTCTCGGCCTGGTGGGCAACGTTTTGGTCCTCGTAACGTACGCCTTCTACAGGAAAGCCAAAACCATGACCGATATCTTCCTGGTTAACGTGGCATTGGCGGATCTCCTCTTCGTCGTGGCCCTTCCGCTGATCATATACAACGAACTGTACAGTTGGAGCATGGGCACATGGGCCTGTAAGTTGCTGAGAGCCGCCTACAGCATTAATGTGTACAGTAGCACGCTCCTGCTAGCCTGCGTTAGCGGCGACCGCTACATGTCCATCGTCAAAGCCACACGATCCGTCCAGATTCGATCGCAAGCTCGAGCGTACAGCCGCCTCATCTGCGTGGTCATATGGCTGCTTGCATTCATTTTGTCTTCGCCTACGTTCATATATTACAAGATGGAACAGAACGAATGCATCAGCATCTTTGAGAAACCTGAAACCGCCATGCTAATGAAGATCCTGATTCCCAGCATGCAGATGCTCATCGGGTTCTTGGTGCCGTTGATGGTCATGGTATTCTGCTACTCGTGGACCATTGCGACGCTGCTCAAAGCAAAAACCTTCCAGAAGCACAAGGCGGTCCGAGTGGTTCTGGCCGTGGTCTCTGTTTTTGTCCTCTGCCATCTGCCTTACAACGTGGCGCTCCTCGTCTACATCAGCAAACTGTTCAGTGAGAGACTCTGCAAGGAGGAACAGCTGACTCTGATGACGCTGTCCATCAGCAGGAGCATAGCTTACCTCCACTGTTGTTTAAATCCCATTCTGTACGCCTTCATCGGGGTTAAATTCAGGAGCCACTTCTGTCAGATCCTACAGGACTTGCGGTGCCTGGGGAAACGGTACATTTACTCGGGACGCTCCTCTCAGCAGACCTCTGACTTGTACGTATCGGCAATGAAAACCGTTGTTGAACACAATCACGACAACCAATCGTCATTTACAATGTGACATGACATTTTCGAGTGATTGCTGCGTGGTTGTTCTCAAGAAAGCAGTGAATGATTCTGTGTATGATTTACCAAGTACTGTTATATGCTAAATGTTTTGGTAACACTTTACCGTAAGCTCCCATTAGTGAATGCATTAACTAACATTACCTAACAATGAGCATTTGCTACAGTGAGGGATTATTTACATCCAAGAATATGTGTAATGATCTATGTTAATGTTAGTTCATAAAAATATAACTATTCATTGTTAGTTCCTGTCAGCTCAGGTCCATTAAATAATATTAACATATACTGTACAACCGTTGATTTTAAAATAATGCATTAGTAAATGTTGCAAGTAACATGAATTATGATTAAGAAGTGTTTTGTCATTGTTAACCAACTTTATTGTAAAGTGTTACAAAACTTTCTTTTGAATTAGTGATATGCGAAATATTTTTGTATGTAAGCAAAATGTTGTGATGTTTTCTTCATTGTCTTATTCAAATGTGTTTTACAATAACTTTACTGTGGGCCGACTTCTACAGCTCATGTCTGATTTGCAAGGCAAATGCTTATCAGCCTTATCAACAATGTGGTATTAAACCACATGAGTCTAGAAATGTGTGAAGGTAAAAATGTCTGTAGCGTGTAAATGGCTCAATAAAACATATTATTGAAATATACAAAACAAGCTTTAACAAAAAAACCTAAACATTATTAACCCTAAAGCCTAACGCACCATATTTTCGATACTCAAATTTTTTAAGGCCTGTAAATTATCAACATGATCAAAACTTTGCTGAAAACCTGTTGCACACAATCTACTACAGTCCTTCTGTCGTCTGACTGATAGTGTAGACTTTTTATATAGTTTAGTTGTACAAACGTGCCACTTAAGCTCGTGCTTCACGTGTCTTCTGCTGTGAAATCGGCACTGATTTTTATAAAGTAAACATGAGAATAACTTTTATATCGTTAGTAATGTTTCAAGGTGAACTCTTACTGGACTGAAGCAACCCAGGTTTACTTGATCTATACATATTTTTTTATAAAAATCATGTTCAAATGTGACTATCAAATATGATCATCAGGCTTTTGAGGAAGGTTTATTTGTTCATCTCTCAATCATTGTATTGCATTGCATTATATGTTTTAAAACTGCAGAGCTTTGATTATAAACTAAGCATTTAAATTTCATCTTATTAAGACATATTATTGGCAGATATAGAGTGACAGCTGATATTTATATGCATTTTATGTAAGTATCTGTTATACTAAAGATCTCATTGATTTACATTCCAAGCATCAGAATTTCATCTTACATTTTGTCTATATAAATATCAGTATATGCACCAAATTGCAAATTTTTGCAAAAAGTGTTTTTTCCTCGAGTTTGAGCTCCATATTCTCACTATATCAGACTATATGAGCCATTAAAGCCCATTATATAATACATACTCAACAAAAAAACATGCATTTTTAAAATATATTTTGTCTAAAGGTTTTAATAAAATGTTCAATTTAAAAAAGATGACTATTATTTCTGAGTTGTTTGAACAATAAAGTTTCACTGTGTATAATCATGAAACTGTGACAGTGCTCAGTGAGATCTGCTGGACAGGTTTGTGAAATTGATTAACCATCTATGGGACTAAATAAATAAATGATATTATATTTTACATATATTTAAGACTAAAATCATTGTCCAAAATCTGACCTTTGACCTTTTTTTAGGGTGCCGTTATTTATAACTGACTTGTTAGGGTAAATTATTTTTGACAAAGTATCTGAAACTTCACACACTTTCAAATGCGCTTTCACTATCTGAAAAGTAGTGAAAAGGTCTCAGTGTTTTAAAAATAAGCTTGATTAACATTCCATTTCATCTTGTGCTACTATATTTCATTTGGAACTTATTATGTGAAAATGTCAAAATCTTGACACAAATTCAGACGCAACTTCACTGCCTGGAAAGTAGCCTAGTGAAACCATATCTTAGTGTTTCAAAAAACATAAAAAAAAATCTTTAACATTGTTCCAAATCAATGATTGTATCACAAGTGATAATGAACAATAGCCCACACGTTCCACGCGTAATTCCATTTTGACCTATTTAGTCGTCAGTTTTGGATCATTTGACCTACACATTAGCATTTACAGCTGCACAAAAAATATATATCCCCTAAAAGGACTTTTATGCATAACACAGAACTTTTGGTCTTTGAGTTTTTTATTTACAAAATGTGCATTTGGATGTACAATGCTATATATTTTCTTTTTCCAAAATGAATTTATATGTATTTCCTATAGTCTAAAATGAACTCACAGCATGTGATCATGCTAATGTCTCAAAAAATGTCAAGCACATGGCTAATGGATTTCAATTTGATTACCAGTGGCGGATGTCATATGACAATGCTAAACTGATTTTTTTTTCTTTTGGTTGAATATTATTATTGTTTTTTTTTTCATCGCATTTTTCTGCGGCATTTATAAATGACGATCCACCATATAAGGTGAACAATGTTGTATTTTGTAGCATTGTAGTTCTTCTCTGGAGTCTCAGAAAGGGACTTTTGGCCCTGTGGTCAGAAAGGAGGCTCTCGATCTAATCATATATTCACAAAGTGTGGATAGGGGCCAATGACACACTTCTCCTTCCTCTGAATATAAATGTACATGCATGGGTTTACTGAAAGTAGTGGGATGATTATCTAAATCGAACTAAATGGGTCAGAGAGCATTAAACCAAATAAATGAAACAACATGACTTGAACTCGAGTAACATCATAACCGTGAAAGCAGGAAATATCATGGGATGAAAACCCTACTGGAGAAAGAGGCTTTTCAACCGTCGCTACAAAACACAAGTTCTCTTTTCAGTGTATTTATATATTTAAATGATGCTTGGCTCATTTCCTCATCCTACATCAGCAAACAACACACTGAATTTGCATACACTGCATCGTAAAGCCCCTAAATTTACAAGTTCACCAAACAGTTTTATTAACATTAAAGGGACAGTTCAACTTGCCGGCCCAGAAAAGTTAAAATACTCCGAGTTACTACAGTGGCTCAATCTTAAGTTTATCAAGCGACGAGAATACTTTTTGTGCACAAAAACAACAACAAAAAAAACGACTTTATTCAACTACTCATTTCCTTCTCTGTGTGCCTCGAGTGAATTCACGTAGTGTAACAGCGCAGCGCTTCTGTGTTGTACATCACACGCATCACACACGTGACCAGCATCGGCCAATAGTGAGCCTACGTGTAAAAACAATACAATAATAATATTCAACCAAAAGAAAAAAAATTCAGTTTAGCTTTGTCATATGACATCCGCCACTGGTAATAAAATTGAAATCCATTAGCCATGTGCTTGACATTTTTTGAGACATTAGCACATATAGGTCACATGCTGTCAAGACTCAATTGTGAGTTCATTTTAGACTATAGGAAATACATATAAATTCATTTTGGAAAAAGAAAAGATATAGCATTGTACATCCAAATGCACATTTTGTAATTAAAAAACTCAAAGACCAAAAGTTCTGTGTTATGCATAAAAGTCCTTTTAGGGGATACATATTTTTTTGTGCAGCTGTAAATGCTAATGTGTAGGTCAAATGATCCAAAACTGATGACTAAATAGGTCAAAATGGAGTTACGCGTGGAACATGTGGGTTATTTTTGTTGTTGTTGTTTTTTTCGCACAAAAAGTATTCTCGTCGCTTGATAAACTTAAGATTGAGCCACTGTAGTCACTCGGACTATTTTAACGATGTCTAACTTTTCTGGGCCGGCCAGTTTCAATCCCTTAGAAGCATATGGAGGAGTGATCCAGCTCTCAGATTTAATCAAAAATATCTTAATTTGTGTTCTGAAGATAAAGGAAAGTCTTACGGGGCTGGAACAACATGAGGGAGAGTAATTACTGACAGAATTTTCATTTTTGGGTGAACTAACCCTTTAAGTTTCTAGGTGAAAGTCTCTTCTGCTCACCAAGGCTGGATTTATTTACCAAAAACACAGTAAAAACTGTAATATTATTATTTTTTAAATATTATTACTGATTAAAACAGCTGTTTTCTAGTATGTAAATATATTGTAAACCGTAATTTATTCCTGTGATCAAAGCTGAATTTTCAGCCCAGTCTCATCCCAAGACGTCATATGACTGACGCTTTTGACCATACGTCAACATCCGACGTTTTAGGGTAGGCCTACACTTTAACGTCAGTTAGATGACGCTATCTAATCCTAACCCTACCCCAGACCTAAACCTACCCGCGTCAGCCTGGTTCACACGGAACGATTTTAAAATTGTCGGCCGATTTTCCAAACCTGAGAGACCCCACACACGGCGATAAAAAATCACGGGTCTAACAGTTTTGGTCGTACAGTGTGTGGTGCGCAGCCACACGGCAAAATCAACACATCACGCACGAACCGATTTGACTCCCTAGCATTCCCAGGTCATACGGAAACACTCGCAAAATCCCTCGAGATCAAACGTGACTTCAGAGTAAACAACCAGTGTAGTTTGTTTTTAAATGGATGCTGCACATTGGTGGTGGTTGAGGAGATTCCCCCTTCCATGTGAAGCGCTTTGAGTGCCTAGAAAAGCGCTATATAAATGTAATGAATTATTATTATTAAATTAACCGAAAAAAAAAAAAACGTTACCAAAAGAAAAGGCGATGGTCAAAGAAGTGGAGACAACGCGAGCATGGACTATTTTGATTTTGTTTCCCGGTGCTTCCTCTGCGCCTCGTCACCTCGCTTTCTGATTGGCTACACGCCACAGTCCACATGCTGCGTGCTCGTTTGTCCCCGGGAGACACCACACACTAGGAGAAATCGGGCCAAAAAAATCCAACATGTTGGATATCCCCGATTTGAGATCGGAGCGGTCCCGACGTCCTTCCGAGCAGACGAGAGCAGTCTTAACACACCACACACGGCAGGAATATCTGATCAGATTATTTACGATAATCGGAGCATCCTTAAGATTGTCGGAAGGGGTAAATCGGGGCTAAAATCGGCCTAATTATCCTGCCGTGTGAACCAGGCTTTACTGACGCTAAAGGTAAAGCGCCAGTTAGATGACGCCCTAGGATCGTCATCTAACTGACGTTAAAGGGTACCCTAAAACGTCGGATGTTGACGTATGGTCAAAAGCGTCAGTCATAGGACGTCTTGGGAGCATCATTACTCCAGTCTTCAGTGTCACATGATCCTTCAGAAATCACT